GGTTTACGTAAATCACAATTAACACAATAAATATGTGTGTGAACTTCATTTGAAAATATTTTAGAAATTATCAACATTCATATACGATTATATATGTGCGAAAATACATTGTAACTCACGCAAAGTCTTATCCCGACACCTACATACCATTAATGTTTGAGTGTTGAAATTGGAAACTTTACAGATACAACTGTTTTCAGTGTTTAGCTATTTTATAACTGTAAAAGGCTGCAATTTTAAAAAATAATTCACTCCTGCTTATTGAGAACTATGAAAAATGCTAAAAAACAATATCAACCTACATACATTTATACATATGCAGATTATACTACACACCATCGTTCAGACATGATCTATTGACTACTGACAAGGTTTGTCTGTTAGAAGAGGGACATCTACAACATTGCGGAAAAGGTTATATTTTATGCACAATCAAAAGCAAATGGGAAATTTTAAATTAAATATTTCTTGGTTAGATAAATCTTTCAAAATATTTAGTTTTCGACTTATCGTAAATAATGCAGTTATATTAAAAGTACTTTAATAAGTTGCTTAAAAATAGTTCGTGCATTTATTAAGGCGCCTGATATAATATTTTTATACAGTTTTTATAAAGTTTCAGAACTGTCATATTTTTATTTACTTGTTATTTATTATTTTCAATTATAAAAATAATTTGGAATAAGTAAAACGTTTTAGATTATATCAAAAATTTATAATTCTTATTTACTTTAGTTAGCAAAGTATAAAAAATGTTATATTATTTTAACATATATTTCGTGAGCAATAATTGCTATAGTTATTTTAATATAAAATTTGTGCTTCAACTTTACATAATTTATCCCTCCTTATTACACCTTGTTACACTATCGCATTTAATAAATTTCAAACGAAAATGGTTTTTATTCCATTGTAAAGCAACTTTAAATTTTGTGTATTTTAATGAATTTGCTCTCATTATTTAATTGTTTTTATACAAAAAAAATTTTTTTAGTATATTGATCAACTGGAAATTGTAGCGACTATAGATTCCATTAAAATTTTATTTTTGATTTATTAAATATCATAATTTTCGTTAAAGTTCGTTGAATGGAACTTGAACCAATTCAGATACGTCAATTTGATGCATTTTTGTAGAACTTTTGTGCTACAGAGGTTATTTGACGATTAAAAATTGGTTTGATCGACCGACATATATGACTTAAGTTTTGATTGAAAATTGTCGTTTAATCAAACCATTTTCTGTGTTCATTAATGTGGCAGGAACCAACATTTTTCTAAACCCATTAAATAGACTAGTCTCAACAGACGTCACAAAGGTCATGTAATTTTAACAGTACAGAAGTATAGAAACAGCCTTACCGAGGCAGGCATACCTATGTTACATATATCTCTAAAACCAATACTTATTTTGAAACAGTTGTTTTTAATTTGGAATGCTTTTATTGTTTCATGGATGTCTTCTCATATGAAGAAATTAAATAAATCGAATGTAAAAAAAAAAAAAAGAAAAAAGTGCGTTTGAGCAGTTTTAACATTTCCCACAACTATTACAAACTACACATATCGTTATTAATCATATAATTGTTTAAATTTATTCGCTTTTACGATAAATAATCACAATCTTCTATATAATCTGTAAAATTAATTAGTCAGATTTCGATACGCAATAATCACCTTTTTACTTGCCTGATAGATGGTTTTTTATAAAAATATATATGTATATTCTATATGGAATCTATACGGAATTGTAGCTGTAGTGAGGAGTAACACAATCTCGAGAACAAACAAATTTTATTTACTCATTGAAATATTATATATATAAAAATTTAAAAAATTGCTTTATTATATTTACATAACTAATGTGATTTTTTTTAGTTATTTTAAGTACCTTCAAATTTTTATTTTATAGCTGGAGTAAAATATTTATCTATAATTAATTGATAATTGATAATTAGATAATAAATTTCTCTCTACGGTAGTGAATAAAATTTTAATTTTCTTTTATTATAACAATATATAAAAATAATATATATTATTTTTATTATTATATTTTAACCAAATTTATTATTTCCGTTTTTTCTGATTATTATAATACCTCATTACTTATGTTAGTTAACACCACTTTTATTTTAATTTAATATGAGGAAACTAATTAGTGAGGAAATTTGAGGAAATCTTGAATTAGTGCAAAATAATTTTTTGGTCTATTGTAAAAACAAATTAGCTTGGTTACGTTGAAGTTACGACCTTGTGCAGCAAAGCCCACTTTGACTTATATAATGGCGTATTGTGATAGTAAGAATATATGTTATTCATAACGTTGATAAGCAGAGCCACAATAATAGGTAAAAAACCGATGTAATCAAAACAGAAAAGAGGTCTTTATTATTTTTGATCTTGTACTGTTTAAAGATGGGTACTAATAAAGAAGGTAAATCACAGTTTCTCTCTCTTTCGCACATCCACAACTATAATAAATGATATTATAATATGGACGAAGTCTCATTACCATAGTTATCTTCATTAAATGCACTAATTTGTAAGTACTTATACAGTAGTACTGTACTGGTTTCGCTTTTAGTAGTATTTGGTTCGTTGTAGTGGCAGGTCTCATTGCATATTACCATAGTATGCAGTGACCTGTAAGTACCTAAACCGCAATATTGAGTAGATTGAATACACCAATATTCAAGGGACGAATTCCGGCCAACTGGCTATGAGTATACGTATTAGTAGATAAGTACAGCTGTGATATGCTGCATGTAAAACAACGCTGTTCGACAAGCAGCATTGTATGACAAGAAATTGCACACCAATTTTTATTTGAATTTTTTGATCCTAGAAATAAGAAAATCAGAATATCGGTGACAACTATTAGTTTTGTTTTGGAAATGTAGAATTTGAAAAGAAAACCCAGTAAAATAGTAAATTTTGTGAGACGTTAGGTTAGGTTGAGAAGGCATGTGCTGACAATTATCAGATTTTACCGAGAGAGGCAAGTTGCTGACCTTTGTTGTTTTCGTGTATTGTCTGTTAAACCATTTGGATTTTCAGATTAAGTTGAGGAGATCCGATAAGTGAAAAAGCGATCCCCAAGACATTGAAGTCGCCTTGTCTGTAGTTTTGGACAGAGACACAGGAAGTGGTTGATGGATTCTACTTCCTCCTCATCTTGGCAACTCCTGAATAATCCATATGTTGGAACTCGCCACCGTTGAAGCATAGGTGCAATGGCACAGTGACCCGTTAGTACTCCAGTAAGAACTGCAGGCCATAAGGTTCTAGCGACCTCACAGTCTTCACGGTTAGTCCATAAATTATTAGACACCGCATATTTTGTGAAAATGAACTGTCAATTTATATTAAACAAAACTCACTGTAGTTATACTTGGTAAATTTGTTCAAGTAAAGTTCAAGTAAGAGTGATAACTGCTGATCAATTATATTCTGCAATATAAAATGTAAAATATTCCACATAACATATACTGTTGCGAAGTAAAAATAAACAATTCATAATTAAATATAATTAAGGTTATAATTAAAAAAAAAGTATTTTAATTTTAAAAAACGTTGTTTGTTTATTGAAACAAAAGGGCCAGTAGGAATAAAAACATCTGACTTACAAAATTTTTACTTAAAAGCATTTCCGTACTTTGTGCGTAAACCGCTTTTCTCAGAAATAAAATACGCGTTTTTTTTTATTTTTAATCTTATTTTACTTTTACTTGAAAAGTATAGGAACAGACCTATAATTTTGTATTTGTGTTGAAGTTGTTGCGTTGCTCTTTTGATAGATTCCCGTCCACACCGCTGGCTTAAATTTTAATGGCTGTCACTTTCTTAAAATTATATGGATTTGCTAATAGTGTGACGCCATCTATGTGTTATCCTATGAACGTTATGTACATATTTCTGTATATAATGATTAAGGTTAAAAAAGTTGTATATTTAATACCATTAAAATATGTATTTGTAAAAAAAAAATATTATCTTCTCTAATTGTATGAGAAATGACGAAAATTTTGTTGTGTATTTTTCTATGCAAACGCTTTACTGATTTTAAAAGTCTTCCTCTTTCAATTGAAATGCGTTTGCAGTATTGTTTTTTACTCTTTAAAGCATTTTCTTAAGAACGTATTGAAGATATATGTTATGTATACCTTTTTTGTTTGTTTATTTTTATTTTTGTTTGTTTTTATTATTATATCGTTGTCATTTTATCATTTTCTATTCCTTTCAAATATACTCGGTCTTATGCTTATTTAAGCGCGAAGTCTTTAGCTTATTGATGTGTTGTTGTTGGTGTTGTTGTTCTTGTGCTGCTTATAAAAATGATTTGCTATCATTCGTGTTATTGTTGCCAAATTCGAGCGAGCAGTAAGTAAACTGTTTATTTGTCATTAATATTTGTTGCTATTGTTGTTGCTATTGTTGCTCTTCCTTGCTTAACACTTTTCTTGATTGCATGATTGCTGTTTTATTTACATACTTTTAATTTTTTTAGTATTTTTGATTTGTCGTCGTCGTGTTTAAATAACATCGTGTAGTGATTTGTTTTTTACGATCGGTATTGTGCTTTTTTTGTGAATTTTTTTCGAAACATATAAAGGCGTCGTAAAGTGTTTTTGCAGTTTTAGTCTTTGTAAGACGAGGGTTGCGTTTGCTGTACGAAACAGAAACAGAAACTCCAAACGAAATATTAAAATAATAACAAAATATTTAGCAAAATTTATCTGTGCTTTTCCAACTGCACTTAAAATTGTTCTTTAATTAAAATTAAATTAGATTCGCTAATCAAATTTCTCCTTTGAAAAATGTTTATTTAAAATGTTAATTTGTGCAACGAGGTGAAGAAAACAAGATTGAGCAAAAAGTTCTGTTTTAAAAAAGTGATCAGTATAAATAAATTGTTTTTCATATACATATATATATATATTAAAAAATATATATATTATAAAATATATATATTAAAAAATATATATATTAAATAAAATTAAATATTTTAAAAATTTATAAATTAATATTCTTTTATGTATATTTGCGCCAATGTGCAAATAATCAAGTGTCAAAGTAGTGTTTATTTGGATCACGGATATTTGACGTACTAAAGTGGAAAGGTAAATTAATGCATATATTCTTAAAATCAAAAAAATTATTGTGAAAAAAATGTTTAAAGAATGAACAAATTAAATTTTCTTAATTTTTATAAAAATAATTTTTTTTTTCAAAATAATTTGAAAAAAATATATGTATAAAATAATTTTTGGTTTATTATTATTTTTAAAAAGTGCAACTCCTATTGGTTATGTGTGGCAAATTAATATTTCATATAAAAAATCATTAATTATGCTAATAAATTAATATTAAAAATGAAAACGCATTGAGAATTTCCTGCTCATTGGCCGATGAGCTTTTTCTTGTCACTAACAGCTGTACGCACATACATACTTATGTGTGCATGTATATCATGTGCAATAGAAAAATAATTCTAAAGTGAAAGCAAAAAAGTCAAAACCAAAACAAATTGTGACAAATGCTAGCCTAGTTAGGTATTAAGAAAAAAGTTGCAATCAGATTTATGTTGCTATATCTTAATAGGACAGACTAGTCACACACCAGGACTAAATAGTTTTGAAACACTTTCATACCTGTGTGCATACATATGTACATACATACATATATTTCACTTCATATTGTTTTGAAACAATTTTGTCTTACTATCGGTTGGCCTTAATATGATCAAGATAAATCCTTTAACTTCAGAGCACACAGGCTTAAACAGTAATAGGCATAGTTGGGCTTAGTAATTATTTTATGTCAAGCTTTGTTATTGTTTCATTAATAGCAATGCAAATATATAAACAATAACAAATTGAGAACACAAAACAAAAAAAAAAGGAAAATAAAAAAACTCTATATTAAGCATGAATATTTTTAATGAATATACAGAACTAATGATTCCTGTATTGCCATACATCCAAACATCGAAAAATATACATACAGTCAAACTTCTATAACTTGAATTTGGAACTTCTATAACTTCTTCGAATAAAAATATTGGCACGTGCCAATAGGAATATGGGAAAGTGCATTCTATAAGTCGAATTTTTGTTTTGAGTATGAATCCATGTTAGGGGAAATTCCTTTTTCCAAACCAAATGCCAGCCGCTTGCAAACGGTAGTCAAACAATAGCACACTGTCCTAAAAAGGCTGGATTTGGCCAATTTTCTACATGGGACGAACAGGACGATATTCCTTTAATTTTCTTGAATAACATTGATGAAGACCGGGAATTGATGTAAAAGTGAAGTGAATGTAAAGTTAACAAAATAAGTTCAAATGCTACTCTTAACCATTATATTATATTGAGCTTGAATCTGAAATTTGTATATCAAGCTTTCCTACAGATAACGATATTATTGACCATTATAGCTCTGAATTAGTAGATCCGATTCTAAGCGCAACGAAAAGTGATGATAAGGGTTCGGCGGATGAAATTGTTTATCGGCCTTCTAAGAATGAAGTAGAAGATTCATTCAAAATTCTGAATTTTTATTTGCAAACGAATGATTCTACAACTGATGATCACTTTAAGGATTGAAATAAAATGGAATCTCAGCATTATTATATTTAAAACGTATGTGCTTATAATTTGAATTTATTTAGAGGAATTAACATTGTAAGTGAAAATCTAGTTGCAGTATAATTTCGCTAGTAAGTGAAATCTTTCCTGATATTTATTCCCAAACACCTTAATTATCAACTATTGAATGAAAGTTATGTGCGTTCTCATTATAAAGATAGTTTTTAATAGTGTCAATCCATTTTTTTCTTTGTCTTTACTTTGTGCTTGCATCAAACACTTATCGCAACAATATTTTCTAAATGAGAGGATTGGATCTGGTTATCTGCTTGAACTCATGAATGTTGCAGAAGTAGTTTTGTGTTTTCTAGTGCTATCCAGTAGCTATTTTTTTTAGCACACAGACATCTTCTCATCCAGCGCAAATATAATAAAAATTTTAAATTTGAAGATAGGATTTTGTGTTGAAGTTCCTAATATTAGCATAACAATTTAATAAGAGCTATGCGGTTAATTTCATATATGGAAGAGTGCTAATTATAAGTGTATTATATATCTTGCTATATTGCAATTTTGCTATTGAGTTAAATCTTTATTTGGTATAAATTCTCAGATATAATTATAATTAACTGTTCGATTCAATTTGTGTGGATTTTAAAGATCATTTTTAATACATATTATCAATCCATTTAATGCCTAAGAAGTCTTGTTGTATTAACAATTTCTTTGCGACTATAAGCTAAATAAATAGTAATTCATAGAATGTTGTTTTTTTGATGTTTTTTTTTTTTTGATATCAATGCTTATTTGTTAATACAAAATATACATTTATTGTTATTACAAAATAAATAAATTTAATTTAATTTTCTAGTCTGCAAAAATGTGTTAAAATATTATTAAATAAATAATTTCTATGTATTTCATTATATTTTAATCAATTTAATTAAAAAAAAAATAAAAATAAATTTAAAATATAAACGGAAAATCTTTTTTGAACAATTTCATTTAATTATTATTAATATTTTTAATATATTTGCAACGTTTTAAGTTCCAGTCGTCAGTATATATATATATATAGTACACACTTACACAAACATTTATTAATTATTTTTAACTTAGTAATTATAATTTTTACCTAAATCATATGTAAAATGAATTTTATTATATAAAGTAATTTATTAAAATATTTTAGAGTAAATTATTTCAACCTATAAATTAAACAATTATAAGTATAATTATTGAAAAATTGTGGCTGAAATTAAAAAAAGAAATAAGTGTTAAATATGTATATGTATAAATGAGATAATTAAATGAGATAATTAATTAAGTTGAAGTTAAAATCTTTTTACTTTTACAGCTTATTTTAATTATATACTACATAGTTTCATTAAATTGGAGTCATTAAAATGAAATGATATTTTGACTAAATTTTTTTTCATATTAACGATTTTTTTAATTAGGCAATTATATTATGTAAATAAGAATAAAAACTTAAAACTAATAAATTATTAATTTCATAACAATGTAAGTTTTTTATAAAATTAAGAATTAATTTTAAAAATAAATTCCCTTAAGTTTTAATTGTTTCGCTTATTAACACAAAAATTGTTTTGATGGCAAAAGCACTGTAGATTTTTACTAGTAGTACTAGAGTATCAATGAAATAAATGGAATACTGGTATAATCTAATCTGTTCGGATTAGATTTATGCAACTACATAAATCAACAACACGTACTAACAAATAACTTCTAAGAAAAATATTAATTAAAATTTTTTTTTTATGTGAAAAACTTGTATTTTTTAATTCGTAAAAAAATTTTAAGTAAACACATTGAACTCTATTAAATAGTTATTATAAACAAAAATAAACATTTTTTTTTATAATATTAATACAAATAAAAAATACTAGACGAAAGACCGGATGACTTGTTTTATATTAAAGTAACTGTGATCGAGTATGTGTCTTAGAAGAACAATCACTCTCTAAAATTTAGAAGAAGTAATTATCTGCCTACTTCTGTTATTAAAGGTCATACAGGTATATATTATATAGCTTTATATTATATAGGTATACGACTAGATTGAGTACCACTAGCAGAAATCTCTTCATAAGTTGTTAACATAAGGCTATGAGGAAAATAAACGAAGATTTATTAACACAAGGTTAACTATTAAGATAATATCCACTTTGAAGCATTCGTAGAGTAATAGTCGACCCTAAGCGACTAATAAAGAATCTCATTGACACAAAATTATTTATCAGATTCTATTAAAGAAGCACATAATATACATATAGCATTATGACTGCATTATATTCAAAGTTTTTAATTAAACTTTCCTATACAAATAAATGTAAATAACTTATTCTCATAAGCCAAAGCTTATTTTTTTTAATAAAGGAAGAAAATAAAAAACAACGACATAAACTTGGAATAGAACAGAAGTATTGTGACATTTGTAGTTCTTTGGTATCGAATGCAAGTTTCTTACCAAAAAATAAATACTTTACTCACTGCGTAAAAGTGTATTATATTTTGTCAAATTTTAATAATCAAAGAGATCGGAAGCTTACTCTTACTTCGAGTTAGGTAGTCTTACAGACTATGTTACGAATTTTCATCTGATTTTAAATAGTGATGTCAGTATGTCACATCAGAGAGACTTGCCTTGTTAATTTGATTTAGGGTGCTCCTAAATATAACTATTTAGCAACTTAAGCTCATTCAGGTAAGGAAAGATATCTCTTTATAAATAAATCGACGAATTAGTAAAAGTTATCAGTTAAAATATTAAGGTTATTATATATGTGATTCCAAAGTGAATGTGAATAATATACCGTTTAGATTGTAACCAAACTAAAGGGTATAAAGCACATCATCAAGCAAATATTCTCCTCTAAAAATCGTATAATACTGAATACTTTCAAGATAAATTTGATTTATGTGTCGGCACATATCCGACAATAGCTTGGCGGTTGTTATTTTCCAATGTGTCGAGAATCTTAGTATTGTGAATTGTTGCCATAGACATGATACTTTGCGTATTCCCGCAAAAAAAGTTCTAGATTTTCGTACATTCAATTCAAATTCTACATCAGGGGGATCATTGGAGACCCCTCATTGAACAAAATTCGAAGCAGAAAATCATTATCCAGACTTTGTTATTCGTTCATTAAATCAGGGTGTATATTACGTTAAAATAGCATATATAAAGTTATACATATTATGTATTGGTTTGACTTTTTTGTTTTATATACGGATATCACTGAAACAGTCAGGGTCATAAAGTGATTAATTCTTTATAAACTGAAGATTTAAGATAAATTTATTTTTATATATACAAGCAGACTTTAAACAATTTTTCACAGATACAAAAAACAATGCTTTAGTATTTTTGTTTCTGCTTATTTTTGGACATAATCTCTTCTGAACTTGATACACTTTTCAACATTTTTCTCCTCTTTAAATTTTGCACTGCGTAAAGATCTTCAATACCAATTTACAGCATATATATCTCTGTGTTTGATCAAAAT